TTTACAACCGAAATGTGTCGAAAATAGATCCATCTCTTGCACTGCCACCCTTTCTCTACGACACCACAAATAGCCTCTTTTCCCATGCACTCATTCTTAGCGGAGACAAAGAAAGGAAGAAAGGTAAGGGAAGAAGAGAGAGGGATAAATATGTAGAATGGAAGAAAGGGGAGATGAGGAGAAGAGGTACAAAAGGGGAGAGGGAAGCGAGTTGGTGACTGAGGGAAGAGGATGTGAATGAGAGAGAGAGAAAGAGGGAGAGAGAGGGAGAGAGAGGGGGAGAGAGAGAGAAAGAGGGAGTGAGAGAGAGAGAAAGAGAGAGAGAGAGGGAAAGAGAGGGAGAGAGAGAGAGAGAGAGAGAGAGAGAAAGAGAGGGAGAGAGGGGGAGAGACAGGTAGATAGATAGATAGAAATAGATAGATTGAAAGACAGATAGATAGATAGATAGACAGAGAGAGAGAGAATGAGAATGAGAGAGAGAGAGAGAAAGAGAGAACAAAGATGTGAACACAAAGAAGGAAAAATGGAACGGAAAAGTACATTAGGTCTAAAAAGAAACATCACAAAAACACGCACACACACACACACACACACACACACACACACATAAAAAAACGAAAGTTAACTCGAAGAACATGATAAACAACCCACATGACAGAAACTGATCATTATCCCTAATTACTTCCTCGATGATTAATATCCCTCAACAAATCCCTTTTTTGAAAGACATATCTGTTTCTATACAAGAAGGCACAAACTGCATTAATGACATACTCAATCAATGGCATAACTTACCTGAGAATCTATTATACGGAGTCGATTCCAAAATGCTATTATGACATCAATCCACATCACAGGCGCCGTCGCCCCCACGGTGATAATAACACCACGAATCACCTTCACTTATAACAAAAAAATATATATCTATAATTCACCAACGCGAGTCAACCCACAATATAAAAAAAACACACATGAAGACTCATCAATTCACATTTTCCGTTCAAGCAACCACTTCAGAAAGCCACGTCGGTGTTAGCGCATGATAGAAAGGCCAGTTATGATCTTCAAGTCTCCCTCACGTCTAAGAGATCAAGACTTAACACAGAACATGTCCCCTTTGCGACATCCGCCCGGCGTTCTCAGGTATACCGCTCTGTCTGCTAGCTCTCCACCCCCCTTGTGAGGGTGTGTGTATACGTAAAGAGAGAGAGAGAGAGAGGGAGAGGGAGAGGGAGAGGGAGAGGGAGAGGGAGAGGGAGAGGGTCGGGGGATGGGGAGAGGGGTGAGGAGAGAGAGAGAGAGAGAGGGGGTAGGGGGAGAGAGTATGAGAGAGAGAGGGGGGGAGGAGAGAGAGAGAGAGGGGGGAAGGGGGTAGGGAGAGAGAGGGGGGGAGGAGGAGAGAGAGAGAGAGAGAGGGAGAGGGAGGGGGGGGGAGAGACTTTGTTGCTAAAATTATAGGTATCTTCGGGGGGTATGCGAGATTACGTGAATGTCGACTTTCATTCGCTCCCTCGCGCTCTTCTTCCTCCCTATTCGCTCTGCCCTCGTGACCAAAACAAATCCTAATTTTCTTTCTTTCTCTTTTAAAAATATAATCACGTCCACAACGTGATCCACCCAACGATCGATTCTCCCGCCCGAGCCACACATTTCAAATCCACACTTCCTCTCCTTCTCGACACTTTTCCTCGTGTTCGGACCAATTCTCCGCGGGCATAGATAAGCAACTGAATCCCTTTCGGACGCGCCCCCGAGGCCCAAGACCTGAATGGCGGAGATGAAGAGAACGGAGAGAGAGAGAGAGAGAGAGAGAGAGAGAGAGAGAGAGAGAGAGAGAGAGAGAGAGAGAGAGAGAGAGAGAGAGAGAGAGAGAGAGAGAGAGAGAGAGCTTGGAGATCGTAAAACCCGAAGTAGATTTGTAAGTTCTTGAGGAAAAGGAGATAAAGGATGAAGAGGAGAAGAAGAAGAAAAAGAAGAAGAAGAGGAGGAGGAGGAAGAGAGAGAGAGAGAGAGAGAGAGAGAGAGAGAGAGAGAGAGAGAGAGAGAGAGAGAGAGAGAGAGAGAGAGAGAGAGAGAGAGAGAGAGAGAGAGAGAGAGAGAGAATTGCGGGGCGAAAATAGCAACATAGCGATACTGCAGTGGGGATCTATTTTTCAACCTCAAGGTGGATAAGTACATTGGAGAAAAGGAGCGGAGACGGAGCCAACATTCTGCGGACATGCGTGCGTAGTGGGGCGAGCCGGACACACAGAAAAGGAAAGAAGGAGAGAGGGAGAGAGGGAGTGGGAGAGGGTGAGGGTGAGGGTGAGGAGGGGGAAGGGGAAGAGGGAGAGGGAGAGGGAGAGGGAGAGGGTGAGGGAGAGGAAGGGGAAGAGGAGGAGGGAGAAAATGAGGGTGAGGGTGAGGGTGAGGGAGAGGAAGAGGATGAGAAAGAGGAAGAGAGAGAGAGAGAGAGAGAGAGAGAGAGAGAGAGAGAGAGAGAGAGAGAGAGAAAGAAAGAGAGAGAGAAAAGAAGAGCAAGAAAGAATAATAGAGCGAAAAACAGATAGGCAGCCAAAGAGATGGAATGACGAGGACAGGGAGACAGAAGCAGCTAAACAAAGAAAATCAAAGATAGATACACTTATACAAAAAACGATAGATAAATAGACAGACAGACAGATAGATAGATAGATAGACAGAGAGAGAGCGAAACACCCACGCTTTATACATCGATGGATAAGGTTACACGGCAGCGAGAAACAAACGAAATATTGGCCATTTCTTCGGGATGCGGTTACACACTCCCCCGCGAAATTAGACGGTATTTATAGCAACCCATACTGAACACCATTCTGAAACAGCCAATCATTTAGAAAGCCTATTGAATGATAATGATAATAATAATAATAAATATATGAGGAAATCTAGTGCATTTTGCCAATTCGTCGAAAACACAAACTGAAAAAGAAAAAGAAAAAAGTGAAAAAACGAAATGTCACTTTTCTTTTTTTCTTTCTCTTTCTCGGGTCAAAACAGTAAAAGGGTTGTGGCATAATTCGAACTTGGCAACTGGGACAGGTAGGAACGGTTTGCGTGCGTATCAAAATCCCCCCTTGCATGCAATATATAGCAACTAGGTTGGACACCTCGAGACTCCCATACGAAAATAGCCCATATGCCCTCTTTTCGCGCGGGTTAAAATGCCTTACCGCGCCCTAACATAAAGTAAGTACGTATCCCACACTTCTTGGAAAAAAGGGACAGTCTATATGTGAAATATTTACTCTACCAAGCTCTGTTTTTTTTCCAATTATCTTTAAATGTATGTCAAAGGCGGTGAACTAAATTTTAAACAAATAGACAAACATTTATGAATGATTTTCTTTTTAAAAATGGGAGATTTAATGGGTGCGAAAACTGTTATTTCAAAGCCCACCACACAAGAAAAGCAGATGGTGTTTACAACAGTCAGCCTTGTTCATCTCGGCCTGGGTCGGAGGGGGAGGGGGAGGGGAGGGGAGTGAGGAGGAGGGGGAGGAGGAGGAAGCAGAGTAGGAGGAGGAAGTGAAGGAGAAGGAAGAGGAAGAGGGGGAGGAGGAGGAGGAAGTGAAGGAGGAGGAAGAGGAGGAGGAGGAGGAGGAAGAGGAAGAAGAGGAGGAGGAGGAAGTAAAGGAGGAGGAAGAGGAAGAGGGAGAGGAGGAAGAAGAGGAGGTGAAGGAAGAGGAAGAGGAGGATGAAGAGGGAAGGAGAAGGAGGAGGAGGATAGAATGAGAGAAAAGGAGGTTAGATAGGAAAGAAAAGTACGAAGAGGAGGAGGAAGGAAAGAGGAAGAGGAGAGGTACAAGAGCGGTGAGTCCACACCATTCTTCATAATACGAACATTCATATTGACATTAAACCTTTAAACCTTATAATAAACAATGATAATGAAAATAAGAACACATTACAGTAAAGATAAGTGATAATGTTGGTTATGATAATGATAATAATAATGGTGATAATGATAATAATAATGATAATGATAATAATAATGATAATAGTAATAATAATAACAATAGTAATAATAATGAAAATAATAACGATAACCACAACAACAATAAAGATGATAATCACAGAAACAAAATGAAAAATGGCAAAACACACCGAAAATATCCCCTACTTTAGATCTGTGACTCTGGCACACAGAACTTGACAGCTGATCTTATGACACGTGACTGTCACTGCCCTAAATTTCTCAGCATCTCCGTCATGGGAAGGAGAATATGAGATTATTTGTAGTTTGGGGAATGTATGTTCCATGCATGTGTGTACGTGTGTGCGTGCGCGCGCGCGTGTGTGTGTGTGTGTGTGTGTGTGTGTGTGTGTGTGTGTGTGTGTGTGTGTGTGTGTGTGTGTGTGTGTGTGTGTGTGTGTGTGTGTGTGTGTGGGTGTTTGTGTTAGTGTGCGTGTGTGTGTGTGTGTGTGTGTGTGTGTGTGTGTGTGTGTGTGTGTGTGTGTGTGTGTGTGTGTGTGTGTGTGTGTGTGTGTGTGTGTGTGGGTGGGTGTTTGTGTTAGTGTGTGTGTGTGTGTGTGTGTGTGTGTGTGTGTGTGTGTGTGTGTGTGTGTGTGTGTGTGTGTGTGTGTGTGTGTGTGTGTGTGTGTGTGTGTGTGTGTGTGGGTGGGTGTTTGTGTTAGTGTGCGTGTGTGTGTGTGTGTGTGTGTGTGTGTGTGTGTGTGTGTGTGTGTGTGTGTGTGTGTTTGTGTTAGTGTGCGTGTGTGTGTGTGTGTGTGTGTGTGTGTGTGTGTGTGTGTGTGTGTGTGTGTGTGTGAGTGTGTGTGTGTGTGTGTGTGTGTGTGTGTGTGTGTGTGTGTGTGTGTGTGTGTGTGTGTGTGTGTGTGTGTGTGTGTGTGTGTGTGTGTTTGTGTGTGTGCGCATATATATATATATATATATATATATATATATATATATATATATATATATATATATATATATATTCATGCAGATTTTCGGGTTTCAAGTTTCACCCGCCTTTCTCTTTCTTACTTCTCCTCTCCTCCATCCCTCTCATTAAACACAAATACCTTTAATTACCCGTTTCCTCAATTCTTCCTCCCTTCCTTTACCCATTTTCTACCCTTGCCTCTACCCTCTTCCCTCTCTCCCGACTACCTAAAAATAGCATCCATCCCTTCCCCTTTCTTCTCTCTTCTTAGCCCATCTTATCTCCTATTCGTTTTTTTATTATTGTTATCATCACTTTCTCTATTTCCATTTCGCTTTGGAAGAAATATGACCATTTTCTACTAAAAATAGCATCCATATTCCCTTCCCTTTTCTTCTCTCTTCTTGCCCCATCTTATCTATTATTCGTTTTTTTTTATTATTATCATCACTTTCTCTATTTCCATTTCGCTTTGGAAGAATTATGACCATTTTCTCTCTGCGTCTGTTTCTCTTCCATAAACCATTGTGTGAATATTCGCTCGGTAGACACTGGTATTCTCGTCACAGCATTTAGAGAAGTATTTTTAACCATCGGCTTGAGATACCTTTTTCCTCGTCCTCTGTCGCTCTCTCTCTCTTTTTCTGTTTGCCTCTTTCTTTCTCGCTTTCTCTCTTTCTGTTTGTCTCTCTCTCTTTTTCTTTCCCTCTCGCTTTCTCTCTGTTTGCCTCTCTCTCTCTCTTTCTCTCTCGCTTTCTCTCTCTTTTCTCTCTCTCTCTGTTTGCCTCTCTCTCTCTCTTTCTCTCTGGCTTTCTCTCTCTCTTTATCTCTCGCTTTCTCTCTCTCTCTCTCTCTCTTTCTCTCTCTCTCTCGCTTTTTCTCTCTCTCTTTCTCTCTCTCTTTCTCTCTCGCTTTCTCTCTCTTTTTCTCTCTCTCTCTTTCTCTCTCTCTTTCTTTCTTTCTTACGCTTTGTTCTTTTTCTCTCTGTCTCTGTCTGTCTGTCTGTCTGTCTGTCTGTCTGTCTGTCTGTCTGTCTGTCTGTCTGTCTGTCTGTCTGTCTGTCTGTCTGTCTGTCTGTCTGTCTGTCTGTCTGTCTGTCTGTCTGTCTGTCTGTCTGTCTGTCTGTCTGTCTGTCTGTCTGTCTGTCTGTCTGTCTGTCTGTCTGTCTGTCTGTCTGTCTGTCTGTCTGTCTGTCTGTCTGTCTGTCTGTCTGTCTGTCTGTCTGTCTGT